ACAAAACAAAACGAAGTTACTCACACAAGATCATTTACCACGAGCAAAAGGTCAAGGCAACAGCAAAGCGAACTTATACTCCGAACCGAACTTACCACCAAAAGTGACCTTGTACACATATCTCACGAGCTGTGGCTGGTTTCATGATCCATACGGTTGTCTACAATTTCAGGCAATCATACGACCCAGGTGGTGTTCCACATAATAACTTCTATCAGACATACTACACGATTACAGAGGTAAGCTGACCAGCAGAGAGCAGCTCACGCGTGAGCTGCAGATTACATAAACAGGCGCCTAATTCACGCCACGCTCGAGTGGCCCGTCCCTCTCCCGTACCCAAGTTCCCGCTGATCCACCTGTCCCACACCAATCGTGCGCACCTGCAAACTGCCCCGTCGAGTCGACAAATCATGAGAAAATTCTATCTGCCGCCCATATTATGGTGCTACGTGCACCTCGCAGACAGAAACCGGTATTGCAAGCGCAATACCGCGCCCACCAACATCAATGAGGAATCGGTGGGATGCCCTACGTATGAAGAGTGGCCCGCGTCAAATAGAACCGCGCATTAAAAGAAAATAATCGTGGAGAGGGGTGAAGAGGTAAGTGCGTAATCTCGCGCACCAAAAAACTCGAATTCCAGACCTGTTTTGCGTCCGGCAGCCTCAAGCTCAACGGAGAACCGCTACGTCCAAAGTAGTTAGTTGCCTGCATGGATGTAATATCACTAAGTCCAAAGTCGTTCTCGGCTTTCGGGGTCCGAGAACGTACCTTGCCACCCTCTCTGGGTACCCCACGAACGTCATTCATGATGGCGAGCGACCTGATATCGGTGACGCGTTGCTTGAATATGTTATGGTACGTCTGTATGAAAATTTAGAGCCCGATACTAAGGCAATCACATAAAAAACGAGTGAGTTAGGTTGAATTTGAGGTCAAAACAGCTGTAAGATGGGACTTACGCCCAGAAAACGTGATTTCGAGCGAGTTATCGCCTTTAACAGCGACGCGATGACATCTACAGTGATCTATTAACTAATCGAGTCGCATGCAACAAAGAAAACCCGACAATGAACCCTTAACTTCCGATAGCGCGACACTTTGGAGGAAGGGATGACACCCCGGCAAAAATGTCGATATCTTCACCCAAACGAGATGTAGACGCGGTCTACAGAGTGTATTAAGTGCCGTCAAACGTGTCTGACGATTATGAACCCATCACGAAGCAATTCGAACGAAAATTGAGCCAGTGGGAACATATCTTGTGTGGGGGATTTGAGATAATAACTCACCGGCATGCTCACCTTCGTTCTTCCTCGTTACTTGGTCGAGCCGCATCAAACCTTCTTTGCCGCTAGTGGGAATAACTGTTCCCGTCAGTTTGAGCCTATATGAAGCCAAATCGGACCGCAAATGAGCAAACACGAACAAATATTCGAAGAGAAGCATTTTGGGGCCATGGCTCACCTTGGAGGTTCACATCGACCCGTCCGTTTGCAGCGGTGGTGCGTACGGCCGCGAGCGGAGATCGATAGCACATACGTAGGCCGTGATTCCTAGCTACTTATCTTAAAGAACGAACCGCCAATGAGCGAGAACGAACCGAGTTTCGAGGAGGGGGAGCGCTGAGAGCGAAACTCACCTCGCTGCTCGTGCACGTTCTAGACGATGCATGGGTTGTTTCTCTCCAAATCTTCGTTGTGAGTGATAGTAAATACCTGTGCCGTTCCTTTGAGGCCGCGACACTTGAAATCGAAGGGTATTTGAGCGAATGCGAACAAATTTTCAGAACAGGGTACTAGGAACGAAAATCCACCAACGTGTTCCCTCTTGTTCTCACCGTTGAGTGGCCCAGTCCGTCCCAAGCCTTTATGAAGTCTAGTGCACCTACCCCGTCCCGTCATTTCGAGCCCGCTAGAGTGAAAATCGGACGATAACTGAGCACACGCGAACACATTTCTGAGGAGGAGTGCTAGGAGCGAAAACTCACCAATACACTTTGCCTCGTTCCCGAGGATGAGTGGCCGGTGTCCCGCCAAACCTTTATTGGGGCTGGCTGAGCTACCTTTTGCCGTGAAATTGAGACCGGTATATTGAAAGTCGAGGATGAATTGAGCAAACGCGGACAAATTTTCGAGAGGGGTATATGGGAGGCCAAAATGTACCAATGTTATCGTCCTTGTTCTCGACGATCGGTGGGCCTTTTCCTATCAAACCTTTATTAGGATCGATGAACCCGACCCGCCCCGTCATTTTGAGCCCCTAACATTACAAATCGAACCGATATTGAGCAAATGCGAATGCACTTACTTGAATAGACTAATAGAAGCGAAAACCCACCGACGTGTTTGTCCTCGTTATGAACGTTGTGTGGACCGTTTTTGTTCGAATCTTGATTGGTGCTGACCAAGCACGTTCCCGTCGTCGTTTTGAGAGCGCCACATCCAGAATCGGGCATGAAATGAGCGATTGCGGACGTATTCAAGAGGGAGGATCTTGCAGACTGAAACTTGCCTACCTATTTTTTCAGCTACTCAGGGTAACCTAGTTGTCTAGATTCAGAACGACGCCATAGCTGATGAAACGGGTCCAACCGCAATTTGGAGCGCATGCCGTGAGAGAGCGAGCCCAGATCGAGCCATATCCAAGTGATTTTGTGGCCAGCAGACTCACCGTTCCCTTGGTTAACAGCCAGCGAGCATAGCACAGTGCACTAAGACACATACAGACAGACAGACACAGGCAGGGACAAAGAGAAAAAGAATAATAAACTTGCCAGCAAAGGGGGATGAGATATATATCTCAACCCCTTCACTCATAGTGGCGACATGCATGGTGGTTGAAAAAGAGAACAAGGCGGCAAATTCCAGTGAGTGGCAAATCCAACTTGTGGCAACGGTACTGGGCGCTTTGGGAACGGCTTCAAACATGTCGGCCTTGCTGCACAGTCATTTGCCGGGCCGTAAAATTGAAACAGAGGCGCGATAGTGAGTTATCCACCGTGAACAGGGTACTTATTCTAAACGACCTAAGGGTACGACAGTGGAAATAACCGTGGGAAAATAACGATAAAATCGATTTTTTTGGGGTATTTACGTGTCAATTTTGAGGGAGGCGCAGGATAAATGACGGGGCGAGGGTCGAGTGTCGGTTTGAGCGTGACGGGATGAAAAATATGGCAGAGATGTTTGAGAGCGTTTTGGATAAGGTTGAGTGGGTGTGACGAGGATGCGTTTTACGTGTCGGTGGAATAGAGCGTGTTTGTGTGAAGGTGGTGAAGATGAGCGTCAGAGATGGAAAAATGGACAGA